ATATCTATCTACAAGCCTCTAAGAATACGTAATATCATAAAGGTCGGGATAGGGCCCCGCCATACCACCCAATACATGTACTAATCATACTGACCAAATAGGCAACTCTGGAGCAAATAGAGCGCACCAACACCTTTCGCGGAGCTGATAGCTTACTTAGAGGGCTCATAACCTGTCTATCGGGACCTGCGGGCATGAAACGCAGCTTCCCCAAGCAAAAGGGGCGTCAGTACAAATAATGTAACGAGTATGTAAGGAATGAAAATCAGTAAATAATAAACACAGAGTAAAAGACTCGACATGTACGTTTGCATTGCTCTATAAATCAGTTCATCTTTATAATGCCATGCATATGCATATAAATGTCATACCATGCTTGGGTATATGTGTTCATAACATCATCAAGACTCTGAGGGCATCCCATTATATCATCTCGGCCACTATGGGCAAATCATCAACATATACCAACTGATCGGGTGGTGGTGTGTATATAACGCCGTAACATTTTTCCATATCCCATATATANTTCTTGAAATGTCATAGGACCATTATGCCTTTGAGTAATATCATAAAGTAAACCTTTTTTCAACTTACGTATTTTCTAAGACCCATGAACAGATGATAGAATAACAAGATACAAGGGAATTCATGAACATAGGCACACCTAATACTTCTATGAATAGAGTCATTTATGGAAGTTGTGCATTTTCTCGTTTCGTTCATGTCGTATAGATCATGCCAAAAAGAAAGAAGGGATAATCTAACATAACTGGACCGATTCTCTTAAAAATTCCTCTAACACACGTCTTTTGTGACAAACATGTAACGGCGGATTGAAATAGGAAAAAATCCGTATGATATTCTTGAGAAGGATTGCACCGTACTCCCTTAGAATCGCAAAATCTCATTGCCTTTACGTAGTATAACTTTGTATGAAATCTCACATTTTTGGAATTCTTGAAGATCCATGAAAGCTCATGTTACTGAATTTTTTGAAAGCTCACGTCCAGGAGTTCAAAAATGAATTCTCTAAAGTTATTTCTCTTTTAGCTGTATAGAAATATCATTTGCTTAACTTTGCAAAGTTTTGCACTTTTCCAATAAAGGGATCAGCCCATCCTCACGTGTAACCAAATTATCATTTGGTCTAGTGACCCATTTGTATACTTTGCCACCTTGGCTAAGCTTATGCCATGTGGCAATCCCTAAAAAAAGGATCTTATCCACTTAATACTATAATTATCTCCACCATTAATCAATTACCCACATAATTGAGAATTATCTCAAATTACTTAAAATACTACTCATTTTTAACACACCTTATACACCTTATTATCATGGCTATGTGGTACTTTGTATGGTACTAGTCCATAAATACCAGATATTTTAGCTCGGGCCGTATTTTATCCCAAAATGCCATACTTCGACGAAATTCTTTTTCTTCGATTTGCTTACCTTCTAACCTTCACGAATTTACTCATTACTTGTTTGAAATAGCATAAAATGCCTATAATCTTAAATTAATCTCATTCCCGAACTTACATCGATTAATTTACGATGAAACTTTAACGTACGAAAAATGCGGGATGTAATATCTCATTTCTGAGCTTTCACCAATTTTCTTATGGCATACTTTGCGTACGAAAACATTGGGTGTAACAGTATATTGGTGCTGGGAAATTCAAACAAGTTATGTCGTGTTTGAATCACTTGTTCCACTTCAGACTATGAAAATATGTGTATTTTGAGACTTAAAAATGAAGTAACTAATGGCAATGGATTGGTGTTGTATACATGATCTCCTTATTGTCTAATTAACGAAGATATGTCTTCTCTTTATTCATGAGTGAGCTAGGGTAGAGAGTATCTAACAGGCTTGCTTGACCGGGTTATCTTTATTGAGCGTCGGTCGCGCTCCCCGAGGTTAGGGTGTGATAGTAGAGAAGCCACTTTTTCCACACAGAAGGGCCTACTTGGCTTGTGCCAAGCAGACCTGGTACCGGTGGCATAACTTCAAGATCATAGGGTTAAATCCCCTGCTCAAAGAAAACAGGCCCAACGTGAAGGAGTACGTATAGACATACGTAAAACCTTTCTTGGTAAAGGTCACCCGCTCCACCAGGTTAGAGGCAATGATGTTTAAATCATGGAAGTTACAGTCTTCCTTCACAGTAGGGATACTGGAAGGGCGAATAAAAGAAGGGTGCCTGCTAACAACCCAAGTTCAAGGATTTGCAGAATGGAACTTCCGAGTCTTTGAATGCAGGTGATGACTTTGCCTTATTTTGAAAGGGTTTGACTTCCGGGTCTCGACCTTGATGGCCCCAGCATCCGCCTTTACAAAGGCATATGCGAGCATAGCAAACGTAAGTTGTGATACGATATCATAGCTGCTTTTGACAAGGTTTCTCCGAACTTTTTCAGTAGAACGGATTAGATTTCGGCATCTTCTAAGTTGTTCCCCTTGATGGCACACGTGTAGGAGGTAACATGTTCATGCGGATAAGTTGTTCCATTGTAATTTGGGAATACGGAACTTCTTTGGGATTGGTTTCGGAGCTGCGCTCGAAGAGAAAAGTTGTTGGACAAATTTCCTGGAATCCAGGCCTTTTAATATTGGGGGTTCTCCTAGGATCTGATCAACACTGGAGTTATAGGTCTCCACCTTTTTGTCGTCGGCTTCGATCTTCTTTTTCCCCGATTCCACCCGCTTTGTCAGTTCCTCGAGCATCTTAATTATTTCGGGGCTGGCTCCGGCTTCTTCTTCACCCAGCCTTTTCGAGGTTCGTTCATTTCTTCGGGTGTTCTCCCGAGATGGTTCGGGCTCAACTTTGCTGGAAGCATGGATTTGGTTCTGTAATTGGGCTATTGTCACCTGTTGAGCTTGTAACATTTCGAAAATCACCAGCAAATTGATCCCATCGCCTTCACCGTCGTACGTACCCCTGGCTACCGACCTGGCTCCTCCATGAACACTATTTTTTGGGTCAGTGGGCAAGTTAGCGTCGATTGCCACATGGGAGTTGGCATCGACTGGGTTAGCAGGGGGAACCTCATTGCTGGGCACTATATTCTTGTTCTCGCCGTGGTGGCCAGACTCAGCTTCAATGTTCAAGTGAGCAAATTGAGAATTAGACATTCTTAAATTTACCTGAAATTAAAATCTCAAAGAACAAGAGTAAAGCAGGGTGCGTCATGGAAATTTGTATCAAATTACCACTTTTATCTTTAGCCCCACGGTGGGCGCCAAACTATTTATCATAAAAAATGGATAACAATTGAATTTATACGTGGTTTTAAGGATATGTGGATTAATTCAATATAAATGATTAATACGTTAGATTAGACAGATAAAAGACGTAATAAATTGCCGAACCAATAGTGAAAGTGATCCCGAACACACTAATGGCTTAATGAAATGCCTGCCTTCGATCTCGGGCTCACAATAATGGAGACTAATGAACAAAAGTAAGAACAGAGAAAAATAATAGTATATTGTCTTGATATGCGTGTTACAATACCCCTAATGAATAGCTAAACCCCCTTTATATAGTAGGGGAGTTTCACCCCAAGTACAATTCTAAAAAAAAGTAAAAAATCCTTCTTCTTGCTAATCACTGATCCATTACTAATACGAGTCGAGAATTACGTCGTGACATCCGGTTGGGCACGGATATCACGACCCTTTGTTAGTCGTGCGCAATTGTCTGGTAATGCTCTCCGGAGTTTTGGGATTTGAATCGAACCTAGGGAAAGTGGCCCCGATTCTCCCGAGGGCAAGTGTTTTGCCCAAATCTCGACACGAGGGGCTCCTTACTTCGATTCTGATTCCTTACGATCACGTATCTGCTCTGTTTGCTTCACCAAGAACCGAGGTGTCCAACAAGCTCGGTTCACCTGTATACAATTTTAAAGTTGCAACGACTCCAATTGACATAAATTTTGCACTTGCAAAGAACAAATGTCAGAGCATAACTCAATTAGATTATGCTCGTGTGTTGGGATGTTTAATTTACATCATGAATTGTACACTACCAAATATAATTTATACTATAAGTAAATTGATCTGATACACGAGTAATTCAAGTCAATCTCATTGGATGGCAGTGAAACGAGTTTTGAAATATTTAAAACATGCACAAGACTTTCCTTTGCATATAGATAAGTATCACGCGGTTATTGAGGGATATTGTAATGCAACCTGGATCACCGATTCAACTTATTCAAAGTCCACAAATGGATATGTATTCTCTATTGGTGAAGGGACGGTGTCTTGAAAATCGTCCAAACAATTTTGTATTGCCCTCTCTACAATGAAGGATGAGTTTATACCCTTAAATAAAACGGGTGAAGAAGCTAAATGACTCCGAAATTTCTTGGAAGATAATCCATTTTGTCCCGAACCGTTGGCACCAATGTACATACATTGTGATAGTCAAGTAGCAATTAGAAGGATTGGGAGCGTTATGTATAATAGAAAATCTCGTTATATACAACAAAGACATAAAACTGTTAGGCAACTACTCTCTCGAGGAATTATCACAATTGACTACATAAAGTTAAGCGATAACGTGTTAGATCCACTTACAAAAGGCCTAACTAGAAAGGTAGTTGAGAGATCATCAAGGGGAATGGGACTATAGACAAGGACAAGTCATTGTGACGATAACTCTAGCCAGAAGACCGGAGATCCAAGAACTAGGTTCATAGAAATCAAACAAAGTCGTTGATGACAATTCAACATCGTCAAATAATTTAGTCCATTCTCGTAATGTGACAATGTTCAGCACCAGAGATAAAGCATTAAGGCTTCTCAATGGATTTTAACTTTGATACAGGGCATATCAAATAGTGTACCCATGGGATGACACATTTAGGAATCTTTATGTAAGTATAAAGTGTTAGCCGCTTCAAGGAGGATGTTGTAAGGTCAGTTTTCTATGCACTTATAAAACAAGATAGTATTCATGACTGAAACAATTATAACAATGAGAACCAAAGACGATTAAGGATTGATTGTGTGATTTATGGTTATCTAGGTATATACCAAAGTTTGACGGTTCAAAGATATCAAATTCATCGATTGACCGAGCATATCAAACAAAATTTCACTACGGAAAGTTCTAAAGAAAACCCACTTATCCATATGCGATTAATCCTTGCTAGCGAATCACACAAATTTTCATGCATATTTCGGCTATATAGCCATTTCCCATTCCTGTGGGGATTGTTGGCGCAGCAGTGACCGAATTGCTAAAATGCTGCATATAGCAAAAGTCAGACCAGCAACAGATAAAGCTGGCGAAAGAAGGGGTTCAAGTCTGCCCCACCAGCACAGGTTCACCGAATACATGTACCTATCTCCCAAGTCCCACCAACACCTTGAGCTCAGTTGCAGCTAAACTTGCCTACTGCACTCATACGCCCGGGACCAATGTAGGGAGAAGAATTTGCAGATAACATATTCTAGCCCCTTGGTTGATATGGTAATAATAAACATTCCATCACTGCAGTATTGCCGAAGGAGACTGCTGAGCTTCCTCCAAACACTAAGCAAATCATTATGCTAATATGCTTGCCTTTAAATTCATGCGCTTGCAACTACGGAAAGGACATGCAATTTTTTCCCAGAACCAATGACATTGGCAAATACATCTGTCATGTCGGGTAAGTGTAATATGAAATCAAATCTGACATGTGGTGAGCAACATCTCACCACATTACCAACATGGTACTGGTTTCTATAATAGTAATACCTCAGCCTGCAGGATTGGAAACAAAATGACATGTTATTGACTTGAAAATATGCAGCAAAATTTCTTCATTACCTTGTCATACTCCAAAGAACTAATAATGCAAGATAATGAGCTAGCAAAAGATTTATCTTAACTTCAAATTCAGACATTTGTTACTATTTCGATTTACATAAACTGCAAGTATGCTTATATGGTTAGAACAAAATCATATACTTGGTCAACTATACAAATACAAAATCAATACTTTAGCTTCATACATGACCAGCAGGAACCTGGCTACCATTAGCTTGAAATCCTCCACTTCAACAACATTACGACAACTTACTCGGTGGTAGCTGTAGCATTTAGGGAAAATGGGATGGTGCGAATGTCAGATTTACCAATCACACAAAGGGTGAAAACAAACTCTTGGCCTTCAGGAAGAACCAGGAATTCATCGACATGTCCTTATCATCGACGAAGCTTTCTTCCTCTCCAATTTAGGAAACAGCTTGGGCCATACTCTCCTGGGGACGTTCTTTAATTATCTTCCTTGGTAGAGTCTGCAACAGAATGAATAAGAAATTTCAGGTCATCACGGTACTCTTTTATCACTCTAAGCTTGAGAAATTTCAGGTCATCCCAGTAAACTTTTTATCGGTAAAGATTGTCAAAAATTCATTTCACATTTTAAATTAAACAGGATAAGAAAGGAAAAAACCATCAATCTATAATTAAAAAATGCAGCTTTGAAGAGTAGTGCGTGTTATTCTTCAGGAAAAGATCAATTAAGTGGGGAAATAAGCATAGAGATGCTAGACGAGCAACCAATCCATTCAATGCATCAACATTCAATTTCATTTTCATGAATTTAGACCTAAGAAAGTTAAAAGACTTCCTTTCAGATGACAATGAATGCAGGCAAAAAACCTCGAATGACTCGCGAACACTTGAATGCAAAAGCAAGATCATAAATTATTATTGAACACTTTGCCAAGAATGCCTGGTAGTGTAACAACTAACAAGCCTCAGAATGAACTTATTACTATAAAATTAATGGATCAATCCTCAAAAGGATGCATTTGTTAGAAATTTCGAGCTGCAAACTCCATTGCCAGCAGAACCTAAAAACAACTCTCAAGATTTATTCTTTTTTAACAATTATGAATTAAACATCCAAGAAGATCATGACTAACCAAGGTCTTAGCCAAGTCAGCAACCGGGGGGGNGGTATCAAACCTCAATAGTTCGTTCGCGATTGTCAAAGAAGACGAGATTTTCAGGCAGTTCATTGTCCGTAATGGTGCAATCACGTGGGGTCTCGAAGAAAGAAAGAGAAAACTGCTTAGAAACAACCCCAACATCAAAATAAATCAACCCAGAACTAGGAATATCTACACGGATCCCTTTGACAGCGAACCAAAGAAATAATTCCTGAGCCGCAACACCAGAAATGTTTAAAATCTGACCATAATTGAGGGTCCCACACACGGTGCTATCGTACCGTAAATGGGTTTCGAATTGGGCAGCACAAGATTGCGGTAGATGCACCTCGAAGCGTCCCGATGATGGATCCATTGAAAAATTGGTAATTCCTTTGGGTAAAAGACCAACAGGGAGGCCATGGGAGTTGAGAATGTCGTAAATGTTTTTTTCGTTTACAGAAATTGGGAGAGATGAAGCTGATGATGGATGTGGGTTTATGAAGAGCATTGTGAAGAGAGTAAATATTGCGAAATGCATTGAGCCCATGGCGTGAGAGAGAGAGAGATGGCAAGAAGGAATTTCTTTTAGGGTTTTGGAAGAGAGATCATAGGATTCGAGGTGAAGGAACAAGCTTCCTTTTTGTTCCCCCTTTTATTTTATGCACACATATTTGCATATTATAATTTTCTTCTCCTTTTTGAGTTTAAAATTTAAATTTGACCCCGGATAGATTTGATTTTGAACAACTTTTTTAGAAGAAAAAAAAAGTAGTAGTATTTAATTTTCCTCCCATCTCCATTACTTTTTCGAAAACTTTTTTTTTTCCCAAAACAAAATTGCTCTCTAAAGCGAAACTATATTTATTGTTGGAACATTCATGTATATGTGTTAATTGCAAACTTATTTATCACTTTTATAGACTCCTTTCTTAATTACATTCTATGTATAAAATCTTTTAAAACCAGAAGCAGGAGCGGATTTAGGTGGCAGAAAAGTGTTTATCCGAATCCCTCCCGTCGAAAAATTACATTATATATAAAATAAAATTTATTTTTTACCTCTATATATTATATTTTAAATCCCCTTAATACAATACAAAAGCATAATATAGTGGTCAAAGGGTTCAAAAACTTTATAAGTTATGATATGCCCACAAGCTAATAGGCATAAAATGTAATAATCCACTCCACCTTTATCAGCTCCTCCCACCCACGACTCTTATCTTCCTCCGCTAACCCACCGCTGTAATTAGTTTTTTCTTCTCATTTTTTATAGCCACTTTTTCTATTTAATATCTTCTCGTTTCTCTCTCAAAAATCATCAAAAGTTCCATTACTGAATCATCATTGAACAAATTCTCAAACCTCGTAAGAAAATTTGTAATCACAAACACACTACACACTAAGAAATCATAAACATTAAATTTATTAAAAAAAAGCTTCATTGACAGTTATTAAAAAGCTTTTAAGCTTTGATTCGAAATGTGTGTTCTGTTAATTGAGAATATTGTTGGAGTTTATATCTTATTTGAGGGAGTTTGATGAACACTAGAGTTAGTTTTGGTTGAAATTTCAAATTGAAACTCGAGTAAGAAGAACAAGAATGTTGTATAAAATAAGTATATTGTATAGGGTAAAATATGTTATGCTAGGGATCCTTTAATAGAATGACACGTGGAACCTAAGGCGAAGAATAGTTAGAACCGAAGGCAATTATTCCGTTTGTCATCGGAATGAATGACACACATAAAGGCGCAATAAATAACGGCATCTAATGGAGAATATTCCACAGCATTTAGTGCGTTGTCCGTTATAGAGAATTTGTCATTCATGCTCATCGTTACACCTTCATCAATGACCCTCATAATTGACATTAAAGAAGGGCACGATCCTAGGACCTTGTTCCCTAGACATAGCTATAAGTAGGGAGCTCTGTTATCATTGTAAAAATAGGACTTTTCTGGCAAACTTACGCTATAATCGATTAAAAGCTTTACACAATTTTACTTTCTTGTTCCTTGGTTTCATCACTGTTGTGCCCGGAAGCTCTACCCCCGGGATTACTGTTTTTCGTGATTTCATCTTCATTTCAAGGCTAAGTATTGCATATTTCTTTAATTATTTTATTATTTTAGGATCGAATTAATTCACTTGTCTAGAAACCACGTATAAATTCAACTTTATCATTTTATGAGTAAACAGGTTGGCACCCACCGTGGGGCCTAGACTACCGTGTAATTAACTTGATCCTTGCCTCTTTTGAAACGTGTTTTGATTATTTGTCGTCGTAAAAATCATAAGAAATGGCAAATAATGGTGTAAACACACACACAATCCTGAGGTTCGAGGAGACCAGTCTCATTTCGATGATTTAATCAGTGATACCCATAATGAGGGGAATGATGGCACACCGGTCCACGACCGACGGTACATGTGACATGTTCGGGAGGCAACTCCCGATGATGCTGAAGAGGAGAATGTTGTTGATGCGGTAAGGGTCCTATAAGAGTAACAAACGATCATTCTAGGCCACCTCGCACGGCAGGATAAGGTTATAATGGAGTTGAAGCAGGCGTTATCGGGGGCTTCCAATAACGCGAATAAACGAGATCCAGTTCCTGCCGGCTCTCCCGCAAATCAAATAACGCAGAGGGTCGACAATAACACCCCGAGGGGTGAGGTTGGTTTCGATGGGGCTGGGGGGAGCAGATCCGGCCCCAATAACGAAAGCGATCCCTTCAAGAATAAACCCTTACGGTTTATGAGAGAAGTGAACACCTGCACTGACCAAATCTCGGGCGCAGCACTGGTGCTGAAAGGTCCGGACTCAAAGAAGTATACTCAGTTGCCGTACAAACCAAGTGTGGTACTAGAATTAATCCCAAAGCGGTTTAAAATGCCTGACGTGCCAAAGTATGATAGAACTTCAGGCCCTCATGATCATATTACCACCTATATAACGGCGGTGAAGGGGAATGATTTAGCTCCCCACGAGATTGAATTTTTTTTGCTGAAAAAATCTGGAGAGACTCTCACGAGGGGATATTTGATGTGGTATTCACTGTTACCCGAGCATTTCATAGATTCCTTTGAGATACTCGCTGATTCTTTTATTGAAGCTCATACCAAGGCTAGAAAGGTCCAGGCCCGAAAGGTAGACATATTCAGAATTGCATAAGGAGAATTTGAGTTGCTGCGAGAGTTTGTTACCCGATTCCAAAATGATAGGATGTTTCTCCCGGTTGTTTCAGATGAATGGGCGGCTGAAGCATTCACCTAGGGACTGAATCCAAGAAGTTCAAACACTTCCCGAAAATTGGAGGAAAGTTTGTTTGAGTTCTAAGCAACGACTTGGGCGGACGTCCACAACCTGTATTAGTCGATGATAAGGGTAGAAGATGATTAGGTTGGCTTCAAGTCGTCGGCAAAAGGACGTGAGAAGAACAAATAAAAATCAAAAGACGATTTCGATACGGACAGACGGTGTTCCATGGGCTAGTTTTTGCTCTATGAACGGACCGAAGGCTGCGGTAGAGGTTTCCGGTCAGCGTATAGGTTTACTACCAACAGAAGGACCAATCGCGGTCGGAACAATAAATCATTGCAGGACAAAAAAGAGTCAGGTATGCGGGATCCTTCTTACCCCAAGCTTTTTTAATACAATTTCAATGTCAGTGTAGTAGAGTTGGTATTAGCTATGAGAAACATCAAAGAAGCACGGTTCCCGAAGCCAATGAGATCCGATCCCAACCATAGGGATCCCAACTTATGGTGTGAATACCACGGGATGAATGGCCACCAGACTGGGGACTGCCGACATCTCCGGGAAAAGTGGCGCCATTATTGAAGAATGGCCATCTAAGAGAATTCTTAAAGTGACCGGGCCAAGAACAACTACGGTCACAATCGGGATAACGCGGAGCCTTCGAAAGCATGAGAGGATCCCCCGCGCCAGACGATCAACATGATCTTCGGGGTGTACGGGATCAACTGGGTCAACTTATCGGCAACAAAAAAGATGAAAGTATCAATAACTCATAGCAAGAGACTCCGGGAAGTTGCTAAAGATGACATCACTTTCACGAAGGAGGATGCAGACGGATTGGTGCTACCGCACAACGATGCACTGGTAATTTCTTTAAATGTTCCAGACTTTAAAATCAAATGCGTTATAGTGGATCCAGGGAGTTCGGCCAATATCATACAATGGAGAGTATTGGAGTAAGCTAAACTCACAGAAAGCATTATTCCGGCCACAAAACTCCTTACTGGATTCAATCTCGCCAGTGTGACAAATCGAGGAGAGATTTTGTTGCCCACAAACGCCGAAGGAGTGATAAAAATGACTCTTTTTAAAGTGGTAGATGGTGATATGGCATATAATATTATTCTAGGAAGACCATGGTTGCACGAGATGAGAGTTGTACTATCAACGTATCATCAATTGCTGAAAATTCCAATGCCCAAAAGAATTAAATAGATAAGGGGCGACCAACCGGCAGCAAGGGAGATAAATGCGATTTTGGTCTCCAGTAGCAAAGGGAATGAGCATGTGGCATAGCAACTACAGGAACCGACGCCCACTCCCGAATCGATTGAAGTTAGCCCGGTTGTAGAAGTGTCGGAATCTTATCAGGTGCCAAGGTATTTCCAGGTACTAGAAGAAACGGATGCAACAAAATCCACGGTGGAAGAGCTCGAGAAAGTTGCATTGTTCGAAGAATTCTTAGAAGGGAAATTCCACTTCGGGACAGGACTACACCCCGAGCTTAGGTCTGCCTTTATTTAATTTCTTAACTCTAATCCCGATTGCTTTGCGTGGTCGCATACGGACATGATAGGTATCCCGACGGAGGTAGTCGTATACAAGCTAAGTTTGGATCCCAACATCCTTCCGGTAAGACAAAAGAAACGCCCTATTGCGGAGGCCTTAAAAATTCGTCAAAGAAGAGGTAACTCGCTTACTTAATATTTCGTTCCGAGAGGTAAAGTATCCAGATTTGCTAGCTAATGTAGTAGAAGTTCCTAAGAAGATTAATAAATTTTCCATATGTATAGATTATAAGGACTTGAATAAGGCGTGCTGGAAAGATTCGTTCCCACTCCCAAATATCGATCAAATGATTGATGCGACGACCGGGCATGAGTTAATGAGTTTCGATACTTATTCCGGGTACAACCCAATTTAGTGGGCGTTTGGACATAACAATTGTAAAATTTCGAAAAAAATAAAAAAAATTCAAGTGAAAATGGTATTTGAAAATTAGAGTTGTGTTTGGATATGAATATAATTTTGGATTATTTTTGAATTTTTGTGAGTGATGTGAGTGAAATTTTGAAAAATAGCTTTTTGGAGTTTTTAAAATTTTTGAAAGATTCCAAAATTCATCTTCAAGTGAAAATATTAAATTTTATGGCCAAACACTGATTTTGAAAAATATGAAAAAACTTTAATGGCTAAACGGGCTCTAAGATGAACTCGGAAGATCAGGAAAAAACTTCGTTTATAATGATTTTTGGCATATATTGCTATAATGTAATGCCTTTCGGGTTGAAGAATGTCGGAGCCACTTATTAGCGACTCGTAAACAAGATGTTTGAAAAACAAATAGGAAAAACTATGGAAGTTTATATAGACGATATGCTCGTTAAGTCTTTG